TCTTATGTGAGTCTATATGTGTCTTATGTGAGTCTATGTGTCTTATGTGAGTCTGTATGTGTCTTATGTAAGTCTATATGTGTCTTATGTGAGTCTATATGTGTCTTATGTGAGTCTATATGTGTCTTATGTGAGTCTATATGTGTCTTATGTAAGTCTATATGTGTCTTATGTGAGTCTATATGTGTCTTATGTGAGTCTATATGTGTCTTATGTAAGTCTATATGTGTCTTGTGAGTCTATATGTGTCTTATGTAAGTCTATGTGTCTTATGTAAGTCTATATGTGTCTTATGTGAGTCTATGTGTCTTATGTAAGTCTATATGTCTTATGTGAGTCTATATGTGTCTTATGTGAGTCTATATGTGTCTTATGTGAGTCTATATGTGTCTTATGTGAGTCTATATGTGTCTTATGTAAGTCTATATGTGTCTTATGTGAGTCTATATGTGTCTTATGTGAGTCTATATGTGTCTTATGTGAGTCTATATGTGTCTTATGTGAGTCTATATGTGTCTTATGTAAGTCTATATGTGTCTTATGTGAGTCTATATGTGTCTTATGTGAGTCTATATGTGTCTTATGTGAGTCTATATGTGTCTTATGTGAGTCTATATGTGTCTTATGTGAGTCTATATGTGTCTTATGTGAGTCTATATGTGTCTTATGTAAGTCTATATGTGTCTTATGTGAGTCTATATGTGTCTTATGTAAGTCTATATGTGTCTTATGTGAGTCTATGTGTCTTATGTGAGTCTATGTGTGTCTTATGTGAGTCTATGTGTGTCTTATGTGAGTCTATATGTGTCTTATGTAAGTCTATATGTGTCTTATGTAAGTCTATATGTGTCTTATGTGAGTCTATGTGTCTTATGTGAGTCTATGTGTGTCTTATGTGAGTCTATGTGTGTCTTATGTGAGTCTATATGTGTCTTATGTAAGTCTATATGTGTCTTATGTGAGTCTATGTGTCTTATGTGAGTCTATGTGTGTCTTATGTGAGTCTATGTGTGTCTAATGTGAGTCTATATGTGTCTTATGTAAGTCTATATGTGTCTTATGTGAGTCTATGTGTCTTATGTGAGTCTATATGTGTCTTATGTGAGTCTATATGTGTCTTATGTGAGTCTATATGTGTCTTATGTAAGTCTATATGTGTCTTATGTGCGAAGCCGCTTCCAGCGTGGTTATTCACACTTTATTTCCCTCCACAAAGGAGGTGTGTGTATATTGTGGTGGGCTCACTTCTCGTTATTATAAAGGTCGTATTCAGTACACTGTGTATGTGTACCTCACCGGGCTGGTCAGTACACTGTGTATGTGTACTGAGCAGCCCGGTGAGGTTAGGTGAAACGATGCCCGCGACCGACACGGCACGGAGAGGACTTTATCCAGTCGTGACTTGACTGAGGCCTGTAAATGATTTATTATTGTGTCTATGGACACTCCGGAAGTGTACGGCACGCATACAGGGCGCCACCCAATTGCTTTTCGTGTGTCTTAGTATGTTTTGCCCCCCCCCCGCACCTATGATTAGCGCGGTCGGCTACGTACGGCGCGAGAGAAGTTCAACACACACACACACACGATGCTTACTTACACACGCACGTACGATCCCCGTGTCGCCGATCGTAGACGGAGGAAATGCACAGAGACGTCTTGGATTTACCGCTAGAAAAGCGGTTACTCACTTGGGTCACGGTCCGGAGCACAAACTCTAACATTGACCCCGTGACCCCCCTGGCGGGGGAGGGGTGGGGGGCTGTGGGGGAGGCGGGGGGGGGCAGGCTGCCCCACACCTATGGAGACTTGAAGCGATAATTCTCCGTAAGCGGGTGGGGGTGGGGGGTGGGTTGCTTTAACGGCTATGGAGTTTGTTGCAAACGGGCGCCCGATGGCTCAAGGAAATCAAAACACAGCCAGATTTATGGTGGCCTCTGAGTTTTGGCTTAGCGTGTCTGCGAAAGGGGAGGGGATCGGCTCACGATAGCTGCCGCCGCTGCCGCTGCTGCTCGTGCCGCTGATGCTGCCCGCTGTCAGCTATGAGTGGGCTGTGCGGCCGCGTGAGTTGGACGGACGTCTTCTGCTGCGGAAGCGCGTGACAGCATCGGGGGATTGATGATGTTGGTATTCATCACCGTGATTCAACTGGTTTCCACGTTCAGTTGACAACGACAAAAAGTGTCTTTTCGCGGTGTTTTTTTATGGCGTGGGGGGTTTTAGTCGTTTTGTTGTCGCTCGTTGTTGGGTGTTGTAGCTGTGGGTTATTGTACTGGGTGGCCCAAATGTCAAGAAACAGAGGTATTATTTTGGGTGGCCCAAAAGTCAGGACACATAGGGTTATTATGCTGGGTGGCCCAAAAGTCAGCACATAGGGTTATTGTACTGGATTGCCCAAAAGTCAGGACACAGGGTTATTATTCATAATAAAGGTTTTTGGGTTAGATCGCGTTTATTTATAAATGTGTCGTAACCCTCCACCACCCGACACGGCCAATCAGCAAAAAAAGTGTCACGTTGACAAAAGACAAATAATTCACTACTTCAGCCCACCGGTGTGTTGAAGAGTTAATCCACATTTACAGTTTGAGTAAATGTGGATTAACTCTTCAACACACCGGTGGGCTGAAGTAGTGAATTATTTGTCTTTTGTCAACGTGACACTTTTTTTGCTGATTGGCCGTGTCGGGTGGTGGAGGGTTACGACACATTTATAAATAAACGCGATCTAACCCAAAAACCTTTATTATGAATTCACTACTTCAGCCCACCGGTGTGTTGAAGAGTTAATCCACATTTACAGTGGATTAACTCTTCAACACACCGGTGGGCTGAAGTAGTGAATTATTTGTCTTTTGTCAACGTGACACTTTTTTTGCTGATTGGCCGTGTCGGGTGGTGGAGGGTTACGACACATTTATAAATAAACGCGATCTAACCCAAAAACCTTTATTATGAATTCACTACTTCAGCCCACCGGTGTGTTGAAGAGTTAATCCACATTTACAGTTTGAGTAAATGTGGATTAACTCTTCAACACACCGGTGGGCTGAAGTAGTGAATTATTTGTCTTTTGTCAACGTGACACTTTTTTGAGTAAATGTGGATTAACTCTTCAACACACCGGTGGGCTGAAGTAGTGAATTATTTGTCTTTTGTCAACGTGACACTTTTTTTGCTGATTGGCCGTGTCGGGTGGTGGAGGGTTACGACACATTTATAAATAAACGCGATCTAACCCAAAAACCTTTATTATGAATAATATTGGTCGCGAAAGCCTACGTGTTAAACTGACAGGGTTATTATGCTGGTTGGCCCAAATGTTAAGACACATAGGGTTATTGTACTGGGTGGCCCAAATGTCAAGACACATAGGGTTATTGTACTGGGTGGCCCAAATGTCAAGACACATAGGATTATTGTACTGGGTGGCCCAAATGTCAAGACACATAGGGTTATTGTACTGGGTGGCCCATATGTCAGGACACATAGGGTTATTATACTGGGTGGCCCAAAAGTCAGGACACATAGGGTTATTATACTGGGTGGCCCAAATGTCAAGACACATAGGGTTATTGTACTGGGTGGCCCAAAAGTCAGGACACATATGGTAATTGTGCTGGGTGGCCCAAATGTCAATGTGATGTTGCAGTTCTCTGACATTATTTTCTCCAGGGCCGTTTCCTCATAGACGCCAGAGTTTTAGAATTTCCCGGAGTAATCCTCAAAATCACGGGTGGAGTTCAATTGTGAGACAAACAATCAAGGTAACACCACGATATGTTACCAACAGAGACACAGATCTCCCGTATAGCCTTTAACAGACTCTTGGGACAAGTGCACTAATCACACACACACACACTTGCATGTGTGCGTATGGAATATATTATATGGAGAGCGGCGGTGCAGTGGTTAGCACACTGCGCTGTAAACCAGACGACCCGAGTTCGATTCCCGCTCACAAACCAACAATATTGGCAGATATTTGAACCATTCCTGGGCCTTCTCATAGGTCGACTCAGCCTTAAATGAGTGCCACCAGGTGCAGTAAAATATCAGCGCTGGGGAGACAAAGGCGGCCGGGAGTGGTGTTGTCCACCCACCCCTTCGTGTGCCGTGCCATCCTGGCCGTCATTGGTGCTACTCGCTAACAGCACTCGCACACAATGTCTCCGATGGCTATACGGGGGATCTTTGTCTTTGTATATATGTGTTTTTGTATGTGTGCGTTTGTGATCTATGCGTATGTACATATTTGTATCTGTGTGTGTTTCTAGATGTGTGTTTACGTGTGTATGTGTTTCTAGATGTGTATTTATGCATGTATATGTGCATGTATCATGTGTAGTTATCTGTGTACGTATCTAAGTGAATCAGAATATGTATTTACACTGCGGGAGAAATCCGATGAGCTACAAAGCTCTTGTTCACAGATGTCCAGTAGGGGCGCGGGGTAAGGACGTTCCAACAACAGTACAAAAACACAATAGGAGTGCAAAATATAAGAATGGTGAACACATCTCCCGAACACAGGCAAATAAAACCAAACCATCCCCATCGTACCAGGCAAAGCCTACCGAGGCATTAACTGTGTATCTGCTCGTGTGTATATCTACGTGTGTGTGTGTGTGTTAACATCACACCGGCTACTCGAATGACGAGTCAAGTACCTGGGTGTGCGATGGGTTAAAAGAGCCTTTACAGCTCATCGGTTTTCTCCTGCAGTCTAAATTAAATATTCTGATTTCCGAGATGAACGTCGCCACTCCACTCGGGTGGACAAAGACGCCCGGTTGGCGCGGTCCCGTTCGATGCCACTCGCGAACAGCACTTGCGCCCCCTCCCCAAAACAGCCTGCTCAAGACTATCCGGGTGATCTTTGCCTGTGTCTTTGTGCGGCGGGCGGGCGGGCGGCGGGGGGGTGTAACGGCCACGAGATTTTGTTTATTGTTTATTATTGTTGTTGGTGTTGTTGTTGTTGTGGCTCTTTCCGCACGCAGCAGGACGAGATAAAGCGCGGCGCGGCGAGCAGCGCCGAGAGGAAGAGCAAAGGGCGCACGGGGTGGCCTCAGCACGTGTGGGCACTCGAATTCCAGTGACCCCCTACCCCCCTCCCACTACCACCACCCACCTTACCCCCCTCCCACCACCACCCACCCTACCCCCATCGCCCCAACCCTGCCGCCCTACAGCAAAGCCAAGACAGAGACCACCAACCCCGCCCCCAACGCGTAGGGCTTTCGCGACCAATATTATCCACGGTAAGCGAGGAGAGGCCAAGTACCGAGGTTCAGGTATTCCTCGCCGCATCTTGGCCGTGAGCTCGGCAAATCGAACTCGGGTCGCAAACCGACCGCTCCGCACAGCCACACCGCCAGACTGCCCCCGCATGGCCCCCAACAGACTGTTGGGGCCAGTGGCTGTGAGCCGGCACTGTGGCACACGCCACGACCATATGCGACAATTACGACCACAACTGCGGTGTCACCACCGGCACCGCCACCGCCACGGTCGCCGCCTTCTCGTCTGCAGTGGTGCATCAAGACCCACTGCGGCTCAGGTCTCCCAGCAGCAGCGGAAGCGGCTGTAGCGGCCAGTGACGTGGCTTGCTTTGAAGTGCGCAGGCGGTGCAACTGCGCCGGTGCCCCGCCGGCCACATGGCCCCTGGAGAGACCCGAGAAGACGCTGGGGCTACGAAGAGTGGTGGGTGGGTTTGACGGGGGGGGGGGGGTGGGGGATTTGGACACGTGCCCCCCCCCCCATTTAATTCCTTGCACCACGAACCCGCCCCCCATGGCAAAAGGCAGCCTCACGAACTCCCCTGCTAAGGAAGGTCACGTGCACTGCACCCACCCCGCGCGCTGGTGGTGCGAGTAGGAGACGCGGCGGTGTGAATACGCGTGCGTGTGTGTAAGTGTGTGTGTAAGTGTGTGTGTGTAAGTGCGTGTGTGTGAGTGTGTGTGTGTAAGTGCGTGTGTGAAAGGTGTGTGTGTGTGTGAGTGTGTGTAAGTGTGTGAGTGTGTAAGTGTGTGTAAGTGTGTGAGTGTGTGTAAGTGTGTGAGTGTGTGTGTGTAAGTGCGTGTGTGTAGGTGTGTGTGTGTAAGTGTGTAAGTGTGTGTGTGTGAGTGTGTGTGTGTAAGTGTGTGTGTGTGTGTAAGTGAGTGTGTGATTGTGTGTGTGTGAGTGTGTGTGTGTAGGTGTGTGTGTAAGTGTGTGTGTGTAAGTGTGTGTGTGAGTGTGTGTGTAAGTGTGTGTGTGTAAGTGTGTGTGTGTAAGTGTGTGTGTGTAAGTGTGTGTGTGTGTGTAAGTGTGTGTGTGTGAGTGTGTGTGTGTAAGTGTGTGTGTGTAAGTGTGTGTGTGAGTGTGTGTGTGTAAGTGTGAGTGTGTGTAAGTGAGTGTGTGAGTGTGTGTGTGTAAGTGTGTGTAAGTGTGTGTGTAAGTGTGTGTGTGTAAGTGTGTGTGTGTAAGTGTGTGTGTGTGTGTAAGTGTGTGTGTGTAAGTGTGAGTGTGTAAGTGTGTGTGTGTAAGTGTGTGTGTGTAAGTGTGAGTGTGTGAGTGTGTGTGTGTAAGTGTGTGAGTGTGTGAGTGTGTGTGTGTAAGTGAGTGTGTGTAAGTGTGTGTGTAAGTGTGTGTGTGTAAGTGTGTGTGTGTGAGTGGGTGTGTAAGTGTGTGTGTGAGTGTGTGAGTGTGTAAGTGTGTGTGTGTAAGTGTGTGTGTAAGTGTGTGTGTGTAAGTGAGTGTGTGTGTAAGTGTGTGTGTAGGTGTGTGAGTGTGTGAGTGTGTGCGTGAGTGGAGAGCGGCGGAGCACAGTGCTTAGCGCTACGCCACGCTACGAACCCGGCGGCCCGAGTTCGATTCCCGCTCGCGGTCAACACCGGGTGACGATTAGTATGAACCGGCCCTGGGCCTCCCCTAGGTAGACTCAGCCTCAAATGAGTACCCGGTGCGGTGTGTAGTAAACATTGTCACCGGGGAGACAAAGGCGGCCGGGCGTGGTGCTGGCCACCCACCCCCCTTGTGTGCCGTGCCCGGCCTTCATAGGTGCTCGCTAGCAGCACTTGCCCCAAATAGCCTGTTACAGGCGACGAGGGGGCTCTTTGTCTTTGTTGTGTGTGCACGCTACCTCAATCGCGGAGTTGGTCGCAGAGATGCTGCGGTGATGCTGTCTGCGGGGAATTTTTCGTTTTGTTGTTGATGTATTTGATGCTTTTTTTTATCCGTGTCGGTTTCGGGGTTAAAGTTCAGTTCTTTGTGAACTCGGTCGTGAGTGTGCATCTGGCCGATATGTGCAGGCACATGCTTGGATATACCACACAACACACAAACACACAACACACAAACACTTACACAATACGCATGCATACATACATATACGCGCGCGTGCGCCACATTCTTACATACGGATGATACAAAGACAAAGATTGCCCTGCAGCCTCGGGCAAACTTCTGGGACAAGTTCAAAACGCACAGACGCATATACTTGAACATTATTATTATTATTATTCACACGCGGCGCATATGCGCATGCATATATATGCACGTACACGCACATGCACATGTATGCACGTGAACACAAATACAGCGCACACACAAACGCACACACATATATACCGTACTGAATAGCAACGCACACGCGCCTTTAAACACACACGCGCGCGCTGCCAATCACTTCACTTCACGTGGTTTTAAATCGATAATTGATCGATGGATTTGTAAATATATCATTGATATATATTATGGCTGAAATGTGCTCCCATTAAAATTGTATTCCACCCACGTTTCTCATCATAATTGTCATCATTACAATAATAAATCATCAACATTACAATAATAAATCATCATCATTACAATCGTGCAGAGATAAAGATCCCCCGTATAGCCTGAGCAGACTCTTTGGGCAAGTAATGTGTGCGAGCACCTATGAAGGCCGGCACGGCACACGAGGGGGTGGGTGGCCAGCACCACGTCCGGCCGCCTTTGTCTCCCCAGTGGCAATGTTTACTACACACCGCTACACCAGGTACTCATTTGAGGCTGAGTCAACCTAGGGGAGGCCCAGGACCGGTTCAGATAATTGTCACTGGTGTTGACCGTGAGCGGGAATCGAACTCGGGTATGTATGTACAGTATGTTGAACTTCTTTCGCACCGTACGTAGCCAACCTTGCTAATCGGAGGTGCGTGGGAAGGACAACAATGTAAACAACAACAATCTAAACACAACAACAAGAAGCAGTTTTGGGTCGCCGGGTTCGTAGCGCAGCGCGCTAACCGCTACACTGCCGCTCCCCACGTCATTACAATCATCATCAGCAGCATTACAATCGTGCATATACTTACACGCTCACACACACACATGCACACTCTCACGCAAATTCACTCGCCCGTATGTCACGATGTCACAGTCATAATCACCTTCGTACTCAATTGACAGCCACATCACATGTGTATGTGTGTATGACACAGATTCCCGCATTCTCAATTCGCGTTGCGTTCGCGCGCCTGTGTATGTGTCTGTGTGTCTGTGTGTGTGTGTCAATATCTTTTAATCGGTTGCGTAACGCTGTGTGGAAGCTACCTGGTCTATCGCTCCGCACTAAGCTTCAGGTATTCTCGGCCACGGTCATTCCCTCCCTTCTCTACGCTTGCGAAGCGTGGACCCCCTTAATGGAACATCTTCGCCGGTTAGAAACATTTAGGCTGGCCTGCCTACGATCCATCCTGGGTTTAACCAGGCTGGATTGTGTGAGGAGCTCACAAATCCTTGAAAGATCTGGGCAAGGTCCCATCGGTGAGCTCCTCCGGCAGGCAAGGCTGCGTTGGCTGGGTCACGTAGCCCGCATGCCCAGCCACTGCATGCCGAAACAGCTTTTGTTCGGCCGGATCGAGGGAATTAAACGGGCGCGGCACGGGCTAGAGAGGAGATGGAGTGATGTGGTACAGGAGGAGGTGGAGCTGAGTGGACTTGCCGATGACTGGTACCAGCGGTGTCAAGTTCGGCCTCTGTGGAGGAGGCTCGTGAAGGACGCTACTGGGCAGTTGGAGGCAGTCGCCCTCCAACAACAACGGAGGGCGGAGGAGCGACGCTCACAACAACGAGCGGAGCGCGGGGTGGCTAAAGCATAGCAGGTTGGCACAGTAGGGGGCACAGGTGGTGCATCAGCCAGTCATCTCAGTCATCTCAGTCAGTCGACCCGTGGCACCTGGGTCTGCCACGTGACCTCCTGCCAGTGGGCGTTCGACACTTCACGTGGCCTCAAGGTGCACATGGCCTGGCACAAGCGTCGTGGTGACGTCATCGCCACTTAGTGGCAAATGGCGGTTGTTGGTTGTTGGTGTCTGTGTGTCCCGGGCATCCCCTAGGTCGACTCAGCCTCAAATGAGTACCTGGTGCGGTGTGTAAACATCGCGACTAGGGAGACAAAGGCGGTCGGCCGTGGTGCTGGCCACCCACCCCCTCGTGTACCGTTCCGGCCTTCATAGGTGCTCGCTAACAGCACTTGCCCCTACAGTCTGTTAAGGCTATATGGGGGATCTTTGTCTTTGTGTGCTTGTAAGTGGATGACGGTGGTGGTGGTGGTGATGGTGATGATGGGGAGCGGTGGTGTAGCTGTTAGCGCCCTGCACCGAGAACCCGGGGACCGAGCTCCATTCCCGCTCAGCGATGCAAAACCATACACCCCGCGCCATTCACACCGCGCCATTCACACCGCGCCATACACACCGCGTCACACACACACCGCGTCGCACACACCGCGCCACTTACACCGCGCCATACACACCGCGCCACACACCGCGTGACACACACACACCGCGCTGCACAGCTCCCGTGTCCCCGCCGCTCCACCCCCAATTCCCCTCCCCGACCGTTCCGAATGACGACCGCTAATCACGGCCATGCGCGCCTTGAGACATCTCGCACAAACCCCCCCCCCCTCCCCATACACAACAAGACAACACAACGTCGCCTTTGCGTGCGACGGTGACCACGCGCGTCGGCCGGTCGATTTTTGTAGTTTTCTCGTTCAATGCATGTCGTCGTTGAACGTCCATCGGTGCGTCGCGGGGTCGGGGTGGCACGCGTCTGTGACGGCGACAGGACAACGGGCGTGCGTGCTTTGGGTTGGAGGAAGTATCCCGTGTTGGCGGCGGACAATTTGTGCTCGATCCGACAACGCGCAGCAATCGGAAATTCCCTTGAGCCCCGCGCAAAACGCCGATGACCTTAGCCCGGCAGTGGTCGCCAGCGGTGGTGGTGATGGTGGTGGTGATGGTGGTGGTGGTGATGGTGGTGGTGATGGTGGTGATGATGGTGGTGGTGATGGCCACGCGCGTCCTTCTCTGTAATCGAGCACTGTGTGGAGGCAGCAGCGGGGGTTGGTGGAGCACACACAGAGAGAGAGAGAGAGATGTTGTGAAACTCCCTTGCCGTAGGTGTCGAAGAATGAGCTGGTCAGGATAACGCGGTACACGGCAGCAGCAATGTGGTGGACTCCTCTTGCTCCATCCATTTGTGTGTCGTCTCGTCGCACGCGTGGGGGGGGGGGGGGTTCCTCCGGCAGCTCCAGTTTCTTGCAACGTGCAAACACTTTGATATAGAGAGAGGACCGCAGAGCTTGGGCAACTCATAATAAAGGTTTTTGGATTAGATCGCGTTTTTTTATAAATGTGTCGTAACCCTCCACCACCCGACACGGCCAATCAGCAAAAAAGTGTCACGTTGACAAAAGACAAAATAGTTCACTACTTTAGCCCACCGGTGTGTTGAAGAGTGAATCCACAACATTTACAGTTTGAATACGACGTTTCGCTGGTAATTACATCCAGCATCATCGGGCAATTCGCCAGAATGGTAAAGCCCTCGCTTGCTCCCGGTCTTAAATAGAGCAGCAGGGTGACGTCAAGCATTACGACAGAATGGCTACAATAATACTCAAATTAACAGAGCACTGATTGCCAAATCACGATCG